CTTTCCTTCCTTTCTTTCCTTCCTTTCTTTCCTTCCTTTCTTTCCTTCCTTTCTTTCCTTCCTTTCTTTTCTTCCTTTCTTTCTTTCCTTTCTTTCTTTCCTTTCTCTCTTTCTCTTTCTCTCTTTCTTTCTTTCTAAAGATAGAGGGCAGCTGGCTTTACTCTGGGCAGAGAGGGTGTCTTGCCCATCCTGGGAAGATTCAGATGATATTATTCCCTTCACTCTGCTGTCTGGCACTGCTACCTCTAAAAAGCTCTTATCACATTCAAGTGATGGAACGACAGAGCCCAGAATTAGAGTGTGAAGAGGATTAGGGTATGCCAGCAAAAACATAGGTTGAAGCTCAGCAGCTTCAGTGTTGAATTGTGGATGGATATGAGGTTCCCTAAATGCAAATTAGCTGCCCTGGAAATCAGCATGTCCCAGGCACAGTAAAGGATGAAAGATTAAAGGGACTYTTATTAATTCTTAGAGCATTTAAAAAAAATCAAAGGAAATCTGGATTGTTTCCACTTGTTTATTTCAGTTGCAGTAATCCTCATTAAAATTTTTGCCAACTGTTTCAGGGAACARATAAAATAATTTAAGCCATTAAAAATATCTTCATACCCTAAACAAAGCTTTACTCATGTAGAGTATTTCACATTCTCCCTTCAGTTGTGGGTCTAGAGTTACTGAGTTTTTTGTGGGGTTTTTGTTTGTTTKTGTGTGTGTGAAAGTGAGATTTTTTTTTCATTTGGATTTTTTTTTTATCAGAATAAAAACTGACTCATACTTCAAGATGATATTAGCTATTTTCTTTTTGGGGAAAAGTGAAAGCAACTCTGCTGGTCTTGGGTTGTTGTTTTTCATGACATTGTGGTAGTCTGATATAGATTCCTTTCAAGACCAAGTCAAATGCATGTATAAGAGAAAGAAGAGAAATTGAAAAATTAGGAAAAAAAGTTTTAAAAGGCACTTTTTTTTTTTTCCATGTGCTCACAATATCTCTGCTTGAAAGACATGGACTGGTAGATAGCATTAATCAGCAGCACTAATACCTTGCAAAACCTTGTTATTACAGGCTGTTATAAACCTGCGTTTGCAGTTGTATTTCAGTACAAGCACATTTAAGAAAGCTGAGCTGGCTGGCTGATGTGCCTTTTCAGACATGAAAAGTATCAGAAGARAATAATCCTGAGGAGTAATCAAGCTGGGAGGAAATAAAATAGGCAAGAGTAGGAAAAATTTGCCTCTGGGAATAGAAGGGTGATGGGGGAGAAGTGCACAGTCCTCCACTTCCTTCATTTGTTTTGGCCTGATTAAATTCCATTCCTGAGACCCAGAGAAGCCATGACCCTGCTGGTCCAGTGCTCCTAGACAGCAGGAGCCCCTTTTAGTCCATGCCAGCTTTCTGACTGTCACTGACTGCCCCCAAATGAGCAAGGCTGGAAAATAAGTGCCTCATTCCAATTTGTTTTATTTCCTCTGAAAAGCTCATAAGTCTTCAAAATACTGTTGTCTTGTGTCAGCCTGAGTTCTCACCTATCGCAGCTGTTTAAGCATGCTAGCTGGTAGTATCTCTTAGCTCTCAACTTCTGCCAACTGTCACTATTTTATGTTTAAAACTCAAGRTTTCTTTGGGCAGCTTGAAGTGCASCCTCTGTGTGACTGTAGATTCAGGCATTGCTTTCAGAATGTCAGGGGCTGTGGGGTTTGGGAAGGAGAGGAGGTGCTCTTTGCTAAGACCTGCTTTCCTAAATTCCTGAGACCAGAGGCATGCTCAGAATTGTATGTGAGACAATTAGACCCAGATATTGTCACTTCTGGACTGACGAAGGAGAAATAGCAGTGACATATTCACTTGCTTGCCTGACACTTTTTTAAGTCTCTGCCCGGCATTAGGACTGCCTGCACTTCCACTGTCTTCAGTAAAGTTTATCCTTGGTCCCAAAAGGGCACACAAGATGTCAGCGTAAGGTTCCGTTGAAAGAGGAGTCCTGCTTCTCTCGTGCCTTCCCATGACCAGCCCTTCTACAGAGGCTGATGCCAAAGGTGGTGATGGAAGAGTGGAGCTGATGTCAAAGGAACTGGGTCACATTGGTCACCTGCAGCTCTGCTTGACCAGTTTTGTTCTTGAGAGAGATGAGCATGGCTTGTTGCCTTCCGTGTGAAAATCAGACACCRGCAACTGTAGCATAGCAACAGGGTGCTGGACCTTTTTTTCTGATGGAGATGGAGAAAGTAGAGAGTGGGTGGAATTTGTATGGGAATGTGCATTATCCTGGATTTGGGTAGACAGCCTCATCAGAATTTCATCTTGGTCAAGTTTATCTTGAAGTGCCTCTGAAGCTTTGGATGTTTCTGTCACTCTGGTTTAATTTGCCCTCAAGCCACTCTGGTTCTGGATCTCTCACATGAGGCAGATTTGGGACATGACATAGGACACTTGTGACATTTGCAGATGATATTTCCTTCAATTTGACATAAARTACTATGTGAATGCCGCAGCTCAAAAGAGAAAAAATAATGAGCAGGTCAGCAAGAGCAGATCAGACACCCAAGAGTAAAGCTTCTCCTTCCCTGAAAGCAAGCTCGAGAGCACAGGCAAATCTGAACAGGATTTCAGGGAGCTGGCTGAGGTCAGGGCATCGTGATCTCAGCAGGCCTGGGTAGGCTGCCCTGCAACTGTTCCCACACACCCTTTCTCTGTCTGTAACACACGAGGCAAGTAAACTTCTCTTTGCAGCATGGATGCATTCCCCGTCTGCAGAGGGGAAACTGTTTGGACTAAGATGAAGCACAGAAGGGTTGGTTTTGCAATGAAAACACAGGAAATGTCAGAAAATGGATCTGAGCAGTCAGACATTCTGGGTGCATTCAAGAACACCAGACTCCTWGGACAACTGCTCTTCATTAGTGTTTGCTTCCTATTTTCTAGTACTGCTCTCTGTAGGCAGCTGCCTTGAAGACAAATGTTTAAACAGCACAGTTTGTGATCCTGCTTGACCCTTTAGCAGTTTCAATTCTCCTAGTGAAACCCCAGAGGGAATTAGTACTCTGCATRGGAAGAGGGGTGGTGGGGGAGGATTGTCACATGCAATCCCAGGCTCCCGGCTTTTGTGCTTGCTTCGACTGTGTTGGGAAGTGTTGGCTGGAATGGGACAAAGACCTCTGTCTGGTGGGTCTTTAGGGTAGCTTGACTGGTTTTCCAAGTGGAGTTGAAATAGATTTTTGCAGAATGTGATAATGATGGTTGTCATGGGGATTCAGCTGAAAAGAAATATAAATATAAAATTAAAGAGTTGCAGGCTGTGATCTACTGTCACTATTTATCTTTGTTCTTTTKTTTCCCCCCATTCACCGCATTTAAATTGGTCCTCACTCCAACAGCTTTGCTGGAAGCTTAATAATTACAGTCTTTTAAAAGAAAAATTTTTTACCTTTGAGTTGTAATAGCTGCTTACATGGGTGAGAAAAAGTCATTGATGTTGGCTGATTGTGCTGAGAGGTTTGAGGACGTCTGGCCCAATATCTTACAGAAATTATTCACAGTTCTACAGGATGCCTCATTGGTGTACTTGGTAGAGAGAAAAATAGGCTTAAAAGTCTGAACTGCTCCTCCAATACCCATGGGGTCTTCTGGGGGCAGTGCTGAAACACTGATGAAATCATGAATTGCAGATTGGAGCTGTTCCACAATAACCAGATATTTCATTTTACAGCACTATTTTAAAATATCTTTCTGCAACATTACACTCAGTTTAAATTACTTACTAAATCTCCTAAAGCCCCAACATTTAGATAACATATTGAGGCAAGCTCAAAAGGACATTAGGCTTTTTCATTGCATTCATCCATTGTGTTTTATAAATAATTTATCTTTTTTTTTTTTTTTTTTTTTTAAATAATTTTTTTTTTTTTTTTTTTTTTTTTAGTTTAAAGCTTTTTCTGAAAAAAAAAAAGTGGCTATTTTCTTTTTGCCCCAAGAATTTGCAGAGACTGTTGTCATTATTGAAATTATTTTTCCACAACTTGGAATAGCAAAAGTACGGAGTTATGTTAGGCTAACCTTCATAAAACCCAAAGAGATAACAGCTTATTCTGTTAAACATCCTGATTAAGTAGAAAACAGGTCAAGGTTCTTTTTATCTGAGGTTTTAGGGTTATTTTACAGCTATGCATCAAAATCTGAAGGAAGCTYGAGTGAGATGTGTGAGTTAAATAATAGCATGCTAAAGTCATGTTAGAGATAACATTTTGGAGAAAAGAAAGCACTTAGGATATCTATATGCTTTAAATGTTTTTAAATGTCATTTTTATCCCACGAACGACTGAAAATATGACCTCCACATGTTCTGTTGTTAGGGTTTATTTGTAATTCTATTTGCTGACTGTAATAACACTCATAAGGCTTTAATGTCATGASTTCTTTTCCTTTTTTCCTTTCTTTTTTTCCTGATAATTATGAAGCTACATACCCATCAAACCCCTCTTTTTGTTACATAGATGGCACGTTTGAGAAATCAAAGCCTACAGACCTAYTTTCATTAATAATTTAGAGAGTGCTTGTCTAATTTAGGTAGAGGAGTCTATCTAAATTACTAATGGATTAAGTTAGTGGTTCCGGTTCCAAGTTCTATTTTTTTCATGGGTGGGAGCATTCCAGGTGAGCATCTCCATGCTGGCTTACAGGGTACTGATAATTCCAATACAAAATCCAAACACTCAAATACTTTTAGACATTGACAGTGTAGACAGTGACTTATCTCATGGCATTTCATGGACTTAAGCCCCTCATGGTGCTTGTGCAGCACSCTAATTTTTTCTCCTATAACGAAAGAAAATAAGAAAAAACCCTTCCACTGCTGCTTTTTCTTTGTGTGTGTGTATCCTGCACAGCAACACAGTTTGCCAGTGACGATGCAAAACATAAACCACTCACACAAATGTTTAATGCATGTAAATGAGAGGCATGATGGTTAGGCCATGATTTATTGTATGCCAGATGTGCTGATGTGAGGGGAAGCCACCCACTGAAATACCCATTCTRTATCCATATATCAGTTCTTGGAGATTCATAGTTCCAAGCATTAAAGCTCAAAGCCTTGTTTTGATGAACTTATTTTTATAGTCTCATCATATTCATGCATAATGAGACTTGAGATGCTGTCAGTCATCTTCATTTATCCTCTGCCTTTGTTGTGTATATTTTACCTGCTTTAACTCAGTGTACATTTTCAGAATTTTAATATGTCTACGRGTAATAGCTGGGAGCAGCAAAAATGTAAGTCAGGAATGAATACTGTGTGTTTTGGAAAGCATATTTTTTCCTGACATTACATKCTACAGACTTTTGTCTGCATTTTATATTGCTCATTTTAGGAGGAGTCCTTATCTCCTTGCAGATGACCAGGTGTGTTTAGACAGATGAATAAAGGAAGATGTTTCTGCTTCAGATGTAACTGCTTCAGGCAGCAAGAGCAGGGATTTGAGGCTTGTCACTTCAGTTTTGCTGGAGCAATGCTCTGACTCAGAGTCCTGCTGGCTGAGAACAGAGACATCAATGCTCAGTAAACCTCCTTGCATCCAGAAAGGCTGCCTGGATATAAACAGGATACTGTGAATGCCTGCCTGGGTTTTGTTGCCTCATCCACCAGGCCTGCAGATTTCTGCAGAGAGTGATAGCTGGGTGACCAAAGCCATCTGGGGCAGGTTGGCAGTGTCTGACAACAGAGCTCAGCTGTGTGGGACGATGCCCTTGCACCTTGTGGGATGGGAGCAGCCTGTGTTGCCTCTGCCTTGCTCRTGTACAGGTGACCATGCAAAACGCTCCATGCTGCAATTACACAGGGGACACCACATCCATTTCTACTTAGAATCCTCTTGGGGCACTCTTGAAATGTATTTTCCAGCCATAAAGAGGTCATTCTATGTGCTGCTGCTACATGTCTGTGTAAGATGCACACATGTTGTATCGTGGCACAAATACACCTTTGAGATTGTGGGTASCATCCAGACCTGAATGGATGATACAATCCTCGTTAATAATCCTTATTAATCAACAAAATCCGCTCACACTCTGCCATTTGCACCAACAGGAGTGGTGGTTTTCCAGCACCAGGAATTTGCACAAATATAGCTGGTATACAAATATTTCATCAGGCGTTAATCTATCCCCATGGTGATGAGCATATATTTTCACAGTATAAAAAGCTGTCAAAAGCAAGCACTTGCATGTTAAATATTATTCAGCATTGGAGTCTACTAGCTTACCAGTTGGTTGAGGTGGTGATAATAWTTTTTTTTTTTATTTTATTGAAGGCTGAAAAAGCAGAAGGATTTATAAGACTTCCAGACTTCAGTGTGGATCGAGCAATTGAATGCAAAAAAAAGCAGTAAGTTTATCTCTTGTTACCAGTTTTGCATGATTTTTACAAGGTTGCAAGGAATGAGCCTCAGTAGTCTTTGACAGTGAAACTGTGGGGAGTTCTTTTGTGTTGTATAAATAATGAGATATTAATTGAGCTACTGAAAGAAAACCATATTGCAAAAGCATTTTTGAAAAATCTCTGCAAGATGTGCTTTGCTGAAACCACAAACAAAAAAAAAAAGACAGCTTAGTGCCAAATGTTTTCTTTTTTTTTTTTTTTTTTTTTCTTTTTTCTCTCCTTTTTTTCATTCAGTGATTATGAGTAAGCTGCAGTTCTCAGATACCCCCTCTTATTTGAGGAGGTCAGCAGCAGTACAAGTAATGCTGCTTCCCTCCAAGCCTGGACTATTCTTTAGGCTGCTGTGGTGCAGCTGAGCTTGGGCTCTACTTGAAGCCTTTGGTTGTGCGGGGAATAAATACTTTTTTTTTAGCAGGGTGCACATTTAAAAATGCTGTCTCCAAATTTCATATGCAGAGCTGACTTCCAGCTGCTTCTGAGCACACTTCAAAGGTTTGGAGGGGTGTTGCTATTGTTCAAAGTAACAAAGCTCAGCATGGTTTTAATTGTGTCCCTCAAGAGAAAGCCTTCATTCTTCTGATGGAGGAGTCAGCAGAGTCAGTCACTGCTCACCCCCTGTGTGCCACTTGGGATTTTTCTGTGTCACATGTCCCTTCCTTCAGCCATCAGTTTCCCATGCTGTGCAGTCTTAGCCTGATTGCCCACTCAAGGAAGCTGTTCCATGTCTTTGGTCACTAATGGTGCTGTCTCCCAAAATKGTTCTGGTTTGCTTTCCCTTTTGGAGCTGGAGGAAGCAAAACTGCACACAGGTCTTGAGGTGTGGGAATACAAAAGAATTATGTAATGAAATAATGGAAGCCTTTGTTTCATTCTTCATTCCTTCCTTTTGAGTTCCTGTAGTTTATACTCTCTGAATAATGTGTGGCCTAGGAAATGAGCTAAAAATAGACTAGAGTTTTAAAGAGAGAGCTATATTGATGGACAAGTTAATCCGGATTATTACAGCGGAGCGAATARATATTTTAAATAATTCATTCAGCCGTTATTTTTTCATTCCTATGTAAACTAGTTTTCTTCATATATCTTCTCTTTTTTTCTTTTCCTAAAGTGCTATTAAAATCAGCCACCCACAGATCAAGACATTTTATTTTGCGGCTGAAAATGTTCTGGAAATGAACACGTAAGTAGGAGTGACTGGTCATGTTTCATCCTGTCTCATGCATGAGAACACCCTTTGAAAGTTCATTCTTTCACTGTCAAGCAGTTGTTGACAAAGTTATTTGGGGAATTACTGAGTCTAATTTTTCTGGTCACTAAATGGAGAAAAACTATTGCTCTTTGTTCACTAATTATAGTTGAAATCAAAATCGCCTAATTAGCCCAAATTTGATACTAATCTTCCCAACATTTGCTGGTACAAATCCCTTTCTGTTAGAGGTGCTAGGATTTCATAGCAAGTACTTCAGCTTGGAAGAAGTGAGGGGAGAAAGCAAAGAGAGGGAAAATCTTAGTTTCGTTTTGTCTCAGAAGTGAATAGATTAYAAYGTCTTCTGCTTTTGGAGTATCGTGYCAGGAGGATCAATGAGGATTTAGAAGAATAGAAAAGGCTGTTTCTTTAATGCTAATAAGCATTTACTTCAGTACCAAACTATGCTGTAGTTGAATGATCCTCATGACAGGTCAGAAATTTTCTTTCTACAGATGTCCAAAAGAACAACAACCAGATAGTTTTCAATGGAAGAAGTAAAAATGGACATGAATGCAGCCATTTTAAAAACCACTGARCTATTGGAAATATATTATTTTCTACTGATCCACTTTTGGCTGATTTAGATATAGCTTATATCTTCTTTGCCTTTTTTACTTCAGATTGCAGGCTGTTCACAATGCTRTTGCATTAAATGGACAAATACAGGATACAAAGCAGTACAATTTAAATGGGAGGAGACCTCTTGTGATAGTCAGGTCAGGATTTTAATCGTGGCTCTACTGGTGATCTTTGTGAGAGTTTTCACAGGAAACTGACTACTCATTCCCTCTGTAAATGGGAGACCTCACACATATTTACCACAATAGAAAAGGAGAGAGCAACACAGAGCATTCTGGAGGGGAGATAACCATCCATTTCCGTGTTCCTGGATTTCCTACCAGAGATCCTGAATGAAGTGACAAGTTCCTGAGGCAGATATGATGAGGATGACAGAGACACTGTTGGACATTAATATTTCTGTAGAGAGAATGGCCCTGGTTGAGAGAGAAGAGATGGGAGGATGTATGGGGAAGGAAAATTAGAGCAAGTGTAGGATATTAGTGAGTGCTAAGAGCCGGTTTGGAGCCCAGTTGGAAATTCTTATGTGAGAAATGTTTAGTCTCCTGTGAGTGAGYCATTGAAATCTATGCAGGTGTCTTAGCTCTTATGCCTCTGGAAGGATTTTCTTAAAAAAAAAAAAAAATCTTCAAAAAATTATTTTCTTCTTGAGTAAATTTCATTTTGGCTTAAAGCTAGGAAGCCTGGTGTTAGAGCAGCCTGCACTGAGCTGCACTAACTGTTCACTGTTGCCACTGATGATGTTTTCCTTGGCAAAGTGTAAAATACATGCATTTAATACACAGAGTACACGCATACTCACGCATATGTCAAAACAGACTAAAAGACATCTGTTCTCTTGGCTCCAGTCCTGCAAATACATGTGTGAATGGTTCCACTCAACTCACTGGAGCATTTGTGTGCATCGAGTTTCTGGTGTGCATAAACGCTTCGTGGATCATGACCTTTTGTAACTCTTCATGCATGTATCTGTATATGCATATACCTGCACATATATCTCTATTAAATCAGCAGTGGATTTACTAACACAGTCATTTGTTTCATTAATTTATCATGTATTTGCTATTGTTGTGCACACCTGAAAAGTAAAGGCATGCTGACTAGATGAATGCATTTAGCTGGCCAGTTGTACATGGATTTTAGTGACTTGCCTCCCCTCATCATTTATGAAGTCCCAGAACTTTTTAGGAAGTCTTTTCCTTGTTAAACTGGGTTTTCATTTAAAAAGTCATTCTGTTAAGATTAGCTGTCAGAAAAGATTCAATGGACCACTCTTTACAGAAGAGTTATCGTTCATACAGCAGCCTRAAAGTGTAGTTACTCTGACACTGATCTTACTAGCAAATTTCCCATTGCTTTACTAGAATCAAAATCAAACAAAATGKTTTTTTTTTCCAACAACAAATTTCTACTCTTCACACTTTCTCTTGTTTAGGCCTTGAGTTTTAATCTTAAAGGCTTGAGCTTTTTCAATTGTTAGTTACTTAAAATCTGGATAGATTTGAATGACCTACAGGAAAACATAATATACAAAGAGTCTAACTAGGGAATGTTTCTAGCACTGGAAAGATACAGCCACCTAGGGAGATAAATGAAAAAAAACCCTCTGTTAATAGCTTAAAACAACACAGGAAGTGAGATTTACTAAAACCAAAAGTACATGGCAAGTTGAAGAGCATGGTATGTTATGATCAAAAGTTTGGTTTCAAGTGGTGCAGACTGTGCTGCAATAATTTTGGCCAGGGAAGCTGACATCATCTTCTAKGGCTCCTGTGCCTTTTTCTTCATCTCAGGTGAAAGATGACACCTCAACAGCTGAACTAAATCACTGACAKGGTTTTAGAGCACAAAGACTTTTTTTTTAGCTTCCACAAATGTGACTCCTGGGTCATCAGTAGCACCTTTTTGTCAGTATCAGGGAAAGATGTCCCAGGCATCCTGTTCTCCACAGGGAATATTAGGATAGAGGTAACTGGTGCCTTTCTAGAAAATGATCTAAGAAATAGAAACTTTGACATTGAGCCTCCAGGCTGATGAAAATGGATTGGGTGGTGTGGAACACAACTGAAAGGTGCAAAACTGAAGAGGATGTGAGTGTCCCTGACTCTGTGTTCCCTCTGTTTCAAACACAGGTGGCTGAGTAAGCTGGGRATGGCTGTAGACCCACAGGCACCAAACGGGAAGAACGAAGAAGGTATGCTCCTAGCTGGTTTCAGTGTGTAACTGCATTGTGTTCTTCACTGTTTTTGCTTGGCYAAATTTTTGTCAGCTATTTTCATTCTTTTAAACCATCATCTTGGGTCTGTCTGCTGTCTGAGCTCAGAGAAACCACATYGACACAGTGCAGAGCAATCACAGGAAAAGAAAAAATGGTGTGAGTGAGAGACACTCAGTGAACTTGTGAGAGGTGTGTAACTCCTTTCTGGCAGTTTTCTGGCTTGCTAAGCCTACCAAATGTGAAGAGGAAGAGCTGTGCTACTCTGGGTTTTGTGCTGGTGAGTGACATTGCAGGAGTTGTGCTGCAGCATGGAGCTTGCAGGTCTGGGAACACCTCATGCACTGCAAACCCATCGTGAATGCCTCCTCCAGTCCTGGGGGCTTCAACAGCAGCAATGCTGGGGGACAAGAGGGTGGCAATGCTATTCTGGAGGCTACAATTCCCTTCAGAGACAAGGCCAAGAGTTTGTTATGGAATGGRAAACTTTAAAAGTTCCTGGCAATTTATTTATTGCCTTAAATGGCACACTGATCTAATATAACTCTTTGGTGGGAGGATACCTGTGCTTGAATCACAAATCTGGGCAGAGGAGCTGGTTTAGAATGAGAAGAGCTCTGGGTAATATTATCTTACCAAACCAGAAATGGACTCTTACCTAAGGAATATCTGTCATCATTTGGGCTTTTGGTCCTCCAGGGAATATGTGTCATCATCTGGGCTTTTGTGTCCATTTTTAGAGTATTGGCACCCAGTACCCTTTTTAGAGCTGCTAAGCTTGTCAAGGACTGTCATTCTGAGGAAGAAACGTATTTGCCATAGCATGAACACTTAGATGAAGCAGCYTCTTTTGTCAAGCACTCAAATGTTCCTCCCTGCATCCCTTCAGCTTTTTCCCAAAATTCAAGATTATGATTTATGTCCAGGCTTGGGACACGTAATTCCATTATTGATTAATTTGATCTGGCTCCATTTGTGCTCCACCACTAAAAGCAGATTTGGGGTTTGTAGACACAGATACTACTGATTCCTGGAGATTCAGCAAGTCCCATCAGTTTCTTTGTTCTCCATTCACAGTGTCAGGAAACTTGTTAATTCCCACACCATCTAATTCCTCCTTCATGTGTCCTATTTGACCCAACTTCACCAAAACATTTTAGGATACGGAGCTATATTGAATATTAGGTTGTGTAGCAAGAACTGCAGGATTCTTGAACTCAGAGAGGAAGTGTGCAAATATGTTGTCCATTTTTTCATGAAGGGAAAAGTTTGATGGAAAATGAGATTAGTCAAAATTGTATGCATTAAACCTCTTTTTTTAAGCCTCAAAAAATGTGATACTGATTGTATTTTCTGAGTGGAGACTTATGAAGCAATAAAAAATGAGTAATTCCACTAATCTTTATTTTTTAAAAAATGGACAAAAGATACAAAATAATCCACTCAATAACCTCTGCAGTAGATTATCTAATAACCAAGCAATAACGTAACATAGCCAATATTTCTTTATCTTTTAAAACCAGTGGCCAATCTCTCCTCAGAAAAAGGCCTTCTGATTCTGGTGTCAAGCACCACCTTGTCTTTTCATGTGTTTTGTCACCTGTGGTCCAGCAGCTGCCTTCAGTGTGGGTGCAGCCCCCACTGGTGCCTGGGTGGACGTGCCCCTACAGAAACATTGCTGTGTTTCATAAAAACACTGCCACTACCCACAGTCACTTCTGTTCCTGCTGACCAGTTCTTCCTCTCTGTATCTCACACCATAATTCTTCAGAAGTCTTGCCTCTTGTTATGGCGTTTCTTGGGTATTCATGTGTTTTCTGTGCATTTTAACACCCTACCCGCTTCGTCATTTGCCTGTTTAGAGTATCAGAAAYAGCTGTTGATTATTTTTCAGTTCTTCTCTGTGCCTAAAAGGGGAGCTGTAGAAACAAWAAGCTTTTTACTAAGAGTTACTCAAAAAGTCATGAATAGAGTCTTAGATTTTGATCTTGGCCTTATTGCAGCCACTTTCAGTTCTTTATGCTTACATGTGCCAGCACATATTTCCAGTAAACAGAATTGCATCTATGCTGCTCAAAACCCCTATGGTTCTGCAAAGAGTACAGGGAGAAAAAGTAATGAACCTCYTTAAGTTTCTCTTTGTTAACATGTTAGAAAATTCTCTCTCATGCACAAAATTCTTCTCTCTTACAACTTTATTCCCTTCACTCTGTGCTTGTCATCCCCCCCTGCCCCAATGACATGCACARAAATGAAGTGTGTGGGTGTTAAATGAGTTAATTTTAGATGAAATCATCYCAGGCTGTCCAGAGACCATTCTAACAATCTTTCTAGTGGTGTGAGGCCCTGGATCCCATTGGCAGAGTACGTTTGGAGAGGCAGCACTGGATCCCATTGGGACCACAGGGACAGCCTCTGTTCTGGACTCTTGGCACTCACTTATGTTGTACTCATGAAGGTCTGACTTTGCCTTTGCAAACTCTCATGCCCCAGCTCAGTGGAGTGGGGGTGGGTGCGGTCACCCTGAGCATGAGGTGCAGGGCAGGATGCAAATGCTCCTCTAAAGGTCACATTTGTGCTGGGGGATTGAGCAAAAGTGGTTTCTGTGGCCTTTTAGTACTTGAAGAGAGCCCATAAGAAAGATAGGGACAAACTTTTTAGCTGAGCATATGGGACAAGGGGTAATGGTTTTACAATAAGAAGTGTCAATTTAGATAGAAAGATATAATTTTTTTTACAGTGAGATTGGCAAAGCACTGAAATAGGTTGCCCAGAGAGGTGGCAGAAACTCTATGTTTGGAAACATCCAAGGTCAGGCTGGGCAGGGCTCTAAGCAGCTTGGTCTCTTTGAAGATGTCCCTTCTCATTGCAGAGAGGTTGGGCTATGTCATTTTCAGCTCCCTCCCACCCAAACTATTTCATGATTCCATGATCTTGTCCAATGTTTACTATTGCCAGGACCTGGGCATGGGTACCAGCAACATACTGCCTCCCCTTTTCTGTGTTTAATTTTATCAGTCATTATCACTTCATTTAATCCAACTTTAAACAAATTTTTAGAAAATATTTTCACCTGCTACCCAGATAGTTGAATGAAATAACAGCATGATTACCTCTGCCATGTGTCCAGAAATATCCAGAGTCTTAACAGTTTGTTTCTGATAAAAAAAAAGAAAAGAGAAAGAGAGAAGTGGGCTAGTCCTGGAGTGTTGTGTTTGCTTTGGGTGCTACCTCTTCATATGTGCTGTCATGCCCTATGGTGTGTCTGTGTGAGTTACCATGTGTAACAAGAGCTGTTCCATAGTCTCCAAAACATGATATGAGCTATCTGCTTAGTCCAGAATTGCAGCCAAACCCCCAATGCCTGTTGCTAGATCCAGGAAAATTTACTGGTTATAGAGACTAAGGGATTGTCTCTGCTACTTACGACAGCTGTTCTTAACTTCTACTACAAATGAAACTTTTTTTAAAGGCTGCAAAGAGAGGAAGAAAAACACCCCAAACCTATTTGTGAAGCTACCTAGAGCAGTGTGCCCAGTSTTTCCTGTCATAGCAAATTAAGCACTATTTTTTTTACTTCCAACAAAAGAAATGTGGACATGAAGTAATGTAGCATTGCCAGAAGTGGGTTAGGAGGCACAGACTTGTTGAAGTGCGGTACTAAGTCCAGAACTCCCTACTTGGTGATCTTTTTTTGCCACAGTGCCGCAAGGAATAGATATATTGGTCTAACTCTTTATTTTGGTTAATTTTCCATGTCTCCCTCAGAATGCTACAGTGAAAGTGAACATGATGATCCAGAAATAACAGACACACCACCTCCACCYTACACAGTCCAGACACCACCTCCTCCTTCGGTAAGTGTTCAGTAATTACCTTCTTTCTTGTGGCAAACCGGTTGAAAAAACACTCCCTTGAGGTGGTGGACCTCTAGGAATAACCTGAAACAGTGTCTGGAAATGTTCAGCCTGTGAAACAAGCATGCACTGACTGCTCATCCCATGGCAGAACTCACAGTTATCACATCCTGCACCACAGGGAGTTTTGCACCATATGAGATCAGCTCTTTCCTATTTACCTTGGTGGAGAAAGGAGGGTGTCATTTGCACCTCACACACCCACTGGCTTTTCTTTTCAATATTTTTTACACATGGCTATAAGCTGTTTTTTCATACTAGTTTCTCCCTTTTTTTTTTAAATCCACCCTGAAACTTCTCTCTTTTTGTGACCCTGGTAGCAYCATCCAACAGCTTTCTATTTATTTGAGTGAGCTGTTTTTAAGACTGCTGAATTTGAAGCTGCTTTTGTGGCAGTGAAGAGAAGGGAAAGAGGCCTCTTCACACAATGATAAAATCTCATTTTTTTCCTCTACCTATGAAAAAAAAACCTATGATAAAAGAAAACAGGCATTCTTCCAAAATCTATGTAGCATATTGTCCCAGAATATTCCTTCCTGTCTCACTTCATTTCATAAATTAGAATAAGCACTGTATACCCTCATGAGTCTAATCAAATTGACTTGCCTAATTATTATCCRCTTCTTGCCCTATTAATTTTGCTTCTATATAATTGTTTTTCCGAGTGATCTCATTGTTCTTACATATGCTTTAAATGGATTTTTAAAAACTTCTTCTTTTTTTTTATTTTTTCCATTTTGTAATTTTTTTTTAAGTAAAAAAATAAAAGTTGTTAATTTGCTGTCATGGGGAGCTTCATTAGTAGGATGTTTTTTCCTCTCTTTGCAGCCTTTAAAGGAAATGTTTAATTTCTAGTAGCAATCAGAGAGAGCTGATAGAGCAAGTGACAGAGGCAAACCCTTAATCTCTGTAACTAGTAAGTTTTCCTGGAGCTAGCAACAGGCTTTGGGGGTTTGGATGCAATTTTGGAGTAAACAGATTGCTCGCATCATGTTTTGGAAACTCTAGAGGAGCACTGTGAGAGTTTTTTGTCACCACATTTTTTGAATTTTAAATTTTTTCCATTAAAATGGAGAGTCAAATTTACTTAGTTCTGTGTTTAGAGATCTGGTTTGGGATGGTAATGCAGCTGAAATAAGGAATCCTGAGTTTAAGCCTTTTCCTTCCCTAGCTGAAAGTTAACACTRAGAGGTGAGCAGTAATATACTTAGCGCTAAATGTTCTCATTGYATCTCAGAGAAGGGAAGTGTCTGCTGCCTCACTGTTGTGGTACAAGTTCCTCCTTTGCATGCTGAAATGACATCCAGGACCTGGGGTGGGCACAGGAACAGCGCAGCAGGAGCAGATCTGAAAGATACAGATGAGCTAGAGAAGCTTGTGCAATCACAGGCATCAATAAAAGGAGATGTCACGCACAGGGCTGCCTGTCTGGCAATCTCTAATTAGCTCACATAAAGCTGGGAGCACATGTCACGCTGTCACCCACTTGCCCCCCTCATTTTCAGTCAGATCAGTCAGTCTTCACTTCCTCTCCCGAAGTGTGCAGCGTTTATCACCAGAGCAATCCGCCTGGCGCTCGGGGGTGTGAGGCGTTCACTGCCATTCTTTGYTGCCTCTATTAACTGGAAGTTAAATGTGACTGAGTGGCTATAAATATCAGAGAAAAGAAGAACTTTGGTGAAATGTCTCCWGCAGTTATTCTGGGCTGAGTGTYGGTTAATGAAGGGTCTTTAGTGTTKCACCTCAGTGTTGTGCCTTTAGGAGGCCTTTAGGAGATGTCTTTTCCGTCTGCTCTCCTCTGAGTGAATGCCTGCATTTTTCCACATGATGAGTTTTAAACAGGTGTTGATTTTCAGTTTTCTGCTTTTTTGGTTTCCTGCTGCTTGTTGGTCTGMTGCTGCAGAGGCGATCTCTGGTTGTCTCCTTCCCATGAGCTCCTCTTGAGTGCTGGCCTCCATGTTTTGGCAGGGAAATGTGGGAAGCRGGSAATKGTGCAGATGCTGAGGGATCCTTCTWTTTCAAGTTTTCCCTTAAAGATTATCTTCCCTTCAGGCTTTACTTTTGTCAGCTGATTGCCCTTCTTCTTATCCTGTAAAATCCCTTCCCTTGTGGACAAACAAAGGTTAGTGTCTCCTGAGTCAAAGATGTCATTTTTTCACCCTAGTACTGGCCACCGGAATAAATTCAATTTGCTGTGGGTCTGCCCTGGGCTCAGCTTGCTTACATAGTGAGTAGGAGCAGCTCTGCTTGACTACAAGTCAGAGTCTTCTTTTGAATATCCCATTTAATATCCCTTTAACTTCTGGACAAGTGCTGAAACAAACAAAAAAAAAAAAACACTGGGAAGATTGGGAAAGCTCAGCTTCTACTAAAACTCAATTCTAAGAGTGGGGCCCATGCTTGTCTAAGGGAAGACTGGTTATACACTGCTCGCTGCCTGTTTATTTGTTACAGAGTTCTTGAACCGAGATGTGAGGTCTCAAAATTGTGGTGGGTTTGGGTTCATATTCTGTGGGTACACCACTTTTGGCTGTTCTGCTTCAATCTTCTCAAATTGCTACTGGAAGTGACACTCATCCTGGCAACTCAGCCCAGACTAAGAATGGCACAGGCATTGACTAAGTTAATTTCTTTTTCTTTTT